TTTCCTAAGAAAAAATGAAATGTAGTGGTAATTTTACAAAATGTGTGTTTCTTACATAAATTTTTCATAGCTGATAAATAAACAGCTTCTTTAAGAAACCAGTAAATAATTTAAACGTAGATAATTACTTGGCAAATTAATATGATAATAATTAATAATAAAAAGAATCAATTCATTTATATATATATATATATATATATATATATATATATATTCTAAAATTGTCAGCATCCCTCATTCAAGCACATGTGTAGTCGCTCCAACATCACAAATTTAGTCCGATGAAGTCCTGAATGATGAAACGCTACACTAGTAAACTTTTTCACTTAATTTCCAGATACTTTTCTTGATATATAAAATATATATCGTTATCTCATATATATATATATATATATATATATATATATATATATATAAAGGGAACATTGAAGTCAACACTCAGAGGCGACAAGTTGTTTCATGCTGGACGCAATCGTCAGCCCGCCTCTGAGTGCTGACTTCAATGTTCACTTTCATATTTATATTTACATACGCTCTGTCTCTAATATTGAGCACTTTATCCCATAAATATAACACACCTTTTTTATATTTAGAACACATATTTAGAAGACATTTTGGTTATTTTTATTTTATATATGTACATTTTTCAGGTTGTATACTCAGACGATACTTATGGCCGTGATGGTCTAGTCGAACTGAAGAAACAGGCCACCAAATTTGGAATCTGTGTTGTAGCCAGCCACAAAGTCGGTCCCCTAACTTCCGCTGCTGATCTCATTAACGACCTCCGCCTGTCGCCCAAAATTAAACCCACAGTTGTCATCCTACAAGCTAAAGACGATATTCACAAATTACTCATCGGAGTGAGATCTCTTGCAGCAGGCGGTGAGTTCACATTCATCGGCCTAGACGGTTGGGGTACCTCGGAACAAGTGGTAAAACCTTTCAAGGCAGACGCCAGTGGCGTTTTGACCATTAAACATCGGTCGTCTGACTTGAGCGACTTCCTGCGCCATCTTGAAACGCTTGACGTAATGAAAGACAAGACGAATCCGTGGTTAGTGGAATGGTTTCAGTATCTATATCACTGTGCTTTCAGTTCAGCAAATATTGCAGGATTGTCTACAGCATGTAACTCGACAGTAGCAACGTATAAAATCACCGACGCCCCGGGCTTCACTTTAGATTACCAAGCTCTTTCTGTGATTAATGCAGTCTACGCTTTTGTCCACGGTCTCCACGCTACACTAACGTCTATGTGTGGGGCGACGTATAATGGAGTGTGCAGCGAATTTTTCACCTCGCGAATGACAGGCCAGAATCTAGTCGAGAATATTAAAAAGGCTTCCTTCTTCGATGGATCCGGACAGATTTTTACTTTCAACAAGGCGGGGTATGGTAATGTACCCTATGAAATTTACAACTATTATGGAGGACAATACAATAAGGTAAGTTTGAATTTTTTTTTCTAAAACCAGATGAATAAAGCTAGTGAGTAAAAACGGATATGAAATATGTTAGACATTTTGACGGTCGTCTTCGAGTATAGAATCCAGAGGTTGGCAGTGAATATTTCGGAGACAGTAGGAAAGCGTAGTGCAGGTTGGCAGTGAATATCGCAGCAAAGTAGCAGAGCGTAGTTCTTCCGTCTGTCATGTTCGCCTGACAAGTTGGCTCTGGTTATTCCGGTAGGAAAACAAAGATGGCCGCCTTTATACACGACGGATACAATGTTCTGCGGCTTCTGATTGGCCAACCTTCTATTGGCAGACTATAAAGGGAATTAAGTCATTTTGACTCGCTCACTAGTCATGCATATATATATATATACACAAAAAACTGTAACATCGTCCGCATGGAAAGGTTACAATCTACATAAAACAAGATGCTACACTAATTTCCACAACTGGCCGCGTGTGCACACTCCAAAACCCAAGACTGTACAACACTTCCATATACTGTGCATTGTTTCCACACATACCTTCTGTTTTTACTCGCAAGAAAAAAAAAGCAATACAATCCAGAATTTCCACCCAATAGCATCCATTCCCGCCTAAAGAAACAAAATAAAAACCTGGGTCGATATGAGCCTAAGAAAGGACATAAAAAGCTTATGAAAGGGATATTTTCGGTAGATGGACGGCATTTTTGTTGGGTTCACAGACTTTGTCGGAAAGCGACCTCCCATTTCCAAAAAACAGCTCGCCAAAGGCCATCGCTGCGGTAAGTCACAACTCCCCCCTCTCCACAATCATAGGCCTCCAAGGACACCATTACAACTCCACTTATCTCTTTTCTTCAACGAGAGACATTTACACCGATTTATCAGTTGTTGTTTTTACGTTAATACAACTGATTATTTCTCCAAACCTTCATCATTTCTTCTTTGTTCTGCTACCATAAGCTTAATAATAACAGAATGCAATATGTGAACAAGCAACACAAAGGTGAATAAGACTAGTGAGTATTAACCGATATGAAATGTCCCTTCTGCACGGAAAGCAGTATGCGAACACTTTATCTTTATGGATTAAATAAAGTGTTTAGTTCAAAATTCCAGGAAAGTTGTCGAGTATTGAAGGCACAGCTTAAAGAAGGCCGAAGATTACAGCGGCCAAAATGTTGTGGTTATGAAAGCCAAGGTAAGCAATGCTGGCCAGAACAGAAAAACCTAAAATAAACAGAGAAAGATAATGAACAGATAGATAGATAGATAGATAGATAGATAGATAATGAACATAGATAGATAGATAGATCGATAATGAACATAGATAGATAGATAGATAAATAATGAAGATAGATAGATAGATAGATAAATAGATAGATAGATAGATAATGAAGATAGATAGATAGATAGATAGATAATGAACATAGATAGATAGATAGATAGATAGATAGATAGATAGATAGATAATGAAGATAGATAGATAGATAGATAATGAAGAGAGATAGATAATGGAGATAGATAAAATTAACCGATATGAAATGTCTCTTCAGCACGAAAAGCAGTATGCGGACAATTTATCTCCATGGATTGAATAAAGTGTTTAGTTCAAAATTAAAGGAAGGTTATCGCGTATTGAAGGCACACAAAAAAAAGGACATGAAAGTCCATCGAAGGAGCATTTTCGGCAGTTGGACGGCATCTTAGCCCTTGTTCACAGACTTCGTCGGAAAGCGACCTCTCATCTCCAAGAGACACCCGACACAGTCAGCTCGCCAAGGACCGTCGCCCTAGTAAATCATATACTCATCCTGCCTCGCCTTCCGGACGCCTCACCGGACACTGATTTATCATTCGTTGTATTTTTACGTTAATACAATTTCTTTAAATTTTCGTTGTTTTATTTCGTTCTGCCACCATTCGCTTATCGTAGCACAATCATATTCTCTCTGTTTGCCATTTGGTAATAATTAGCAATTGCAATAAAACCAAGATTTATTGGGCCTCAATATAAGGAATATCGGTTTGAAGGAACCACATGTAAATCATATAACTAACAAACTTTTAATATTTACTGAACGAGGTTTCATAAAATCAGTCATTATCTCAACTATACAAAAATGTTTGGACTAATATCCTCATCGGGAGATATTTTATTAAGGCTCGACACGAATACAACCTTTTTCTTTATTTGAAATTGTGAAAATCAATCATAATATCACATCCACAAATTAATTGGCTAGTCGCATTCAATACTTCAATAATGAAACTGAAGAAAATGAATATGCTTCATCCAAGATATTTAATAATAACTAGCAGCATGGCCCGGCGTTGCCCGTCCCTGATTCAAAAATCGTACGACTCATATAGCAATCACTATCACTTGACTTAAAATATTTTTGCCCTTCCTTGCCTTTAAAGGAGTGCCCTTTTCCGTGCTGATGTTGCTACATGCCTTACTTCTTGCCTATCTCACACTGCGAATTTTTTCTAAGCTCTATACTAAACATTACATCTGTTACGAAAAACGATCAGCTTTAAAAAAGGACTCGTAACTGGAAAAGCCGAATGAAAAAAGAATATTAACAACAAATACTTTTTCACACCCAACCCAGTTCTGCGGAATCAGAATCAACGTTGTGTTTAAGCAAGCGAATGAGCCAATTGGAGTAAAGTGCCATGCAGATTGAAATTTTTCCCACTTGTGACGAATGCAGCTATCGATTTTTTTTTGCATGCTAGCATGCTAGTTAACATTTGTGTCAGTCACCTGTTGGCTCTCACGCTGGCCAATAGAATCTTCCTGCCTATTCGTGGCAGCCAGCTATTGGCTCCCACTCTGGCCAATACAAAATGGCCGCAAACTACATGAAAACTGTTATTTCCACTCTCGATGGGAGTTGGGAAATGCAAAGTCGGTCTTGGCCTTCCCGATAACTTGGAGCATGTGCACCCCCACGCACTTCCTGCCATTCATGGATAGAGATATTTTAGGGCGAAGTGAAGAGCCACAGTCTCTTGGCGTCAGTTGTTGTTGTTGTTGTTGTTTTTCTTCTTCTTTGTGTCGTGTCCCATCAGGACGTAGGCGATCATGGCTCTCCACAACTTCCTGTCCTTTGTAGCTCTTAAAAAATTCTCTTTTTGTTATTTATCTTAAACTTTAATCCGCCATCCATTTTACTGAAGCTCAATAAGCAAGTTTGTCGTTTCTCTCTCCCTTATAATTGATATTCTGCCAATCATTTACAAAATCTTCTTAGATAGATCATGAGATGTTTCCTCTGTCCCTTTTGCCTTCAGTTAGCCTTGTGAGTTTCAAATCTTCTAAGCCCTGTTTCCTCAGAAACTTTGACAGTCACAGGACACAGATAACTTTTAACAAATTAATTATTAATTAAGCACAAGTCCTTCTTATGCCCTTTTATTTCAGGTTGGCAGTTACAATTTTGTGTCGGGCATATTCCAACTGAATAAGAATAATATCCGTCTTTTTGGCGGGTCTGAAGTATCTACCATAGAGCCAACCTGTCCAAAACCGTGTGTCGCCTGTCAGTATATGCTCAGCGAACAGCCATTTCTTTATATTCCTGGAGATCTGCTCCTACCGGCCGTTTTTGATATTCATTACATGGGTAAGTTATATCATGTTTCACAACATCACAAACCTATGATAAGTTATAACCAATGATGTACTATGACTGATAATTTATAATCAGTTATATACTATGACTGATAATTTATGACCAATCATATACTATGACTGATAGTTTATAACACATCATATACTATGACAGAAAATTTATAAAAAATCATGTACTATGACTGACAATTTAGGACCAATCATATACTATGACATAATTTATGACCAATCGAATATTATGACTGATAATTTAGGACCAATCATATACTATGACATAATTTATGACCAATCATATACTATGACTGATAATTTATGACGGATTATATACTATGACTGATAATGTATGACCGACCATATACTATGACTGACAATTTATGATCAAATCATATACTATTAACTGATAATTTATAACCAATCATATACTATGACAGAAAATTTATAACCTGTCATATACTCCGACTGATAATTTATGACCAATCATATATTGTGGGTAATATTTTATGATCTATCGTATACTATGACTAATAATTTATAATCAATCATATACTCTGGCTGGTAATTTATGACCAATCATATATTGTGGGTAATAATTTATGACCTATCATATACTATGACTAATAATTTATAAACAATCATATACTCTGATTGATAATTTATGACCAATCATATGTTGTGGGTAATAATTTATGACCTATCATATACTATGACTAATAATTTATAACCAATCATATACACTGGCTGATAATTTATAACCAATCATATAGCTGTACTCTTTATTTTGATTCCATTTCCAGCCTGAAGAAAGTTTATTGGCCATTGCTACTCTATCGCTAGATGCATGGAAAATGTTCAGATGAGATTTACCATTTCAGACTTGTATATCTCGGACACGCCATCTTTTGTTCACAGAGTCGTAGTATCTTCATTTCTTCCTTATTTCAAATTTAAAAATAAAGATTCACAAGTCATTTGATAGATTTTATCAAAGAAAAGAGCCTCGGCTTAGATAAGGTTTCCTTTTGTATTTATTTATATTATCGTTTTATAGTTTTATATTTTTTGTCATATCTGAAATTTTACTTATATATATGTATATACACATGTATATATAAGAGTGTACAATATCGAGTAACGACAGTCTGTTTATACTTGACCCTAATATTGAGGTCTCGTGTTATTTACTAATCCACCTGGTGACAAAAGTTTGAACTTAACATATGCGCTACAGTTCAAAGAATTGTTGTGTACTTGAATTTAGAGAAAATTATTATACATGGTTAAAAAAATGACATGATTTTTTATTAGAAATCTTATTATGACAAATAGAAAATATGCATTTTATGATTGAATTTTGCTCTCGTCAAAATATCCTCCTTTGACCTTGATTACTGCTGCACAATTTTTTAGCATTCATTGCAAAAGTTTCTCAAAGTATAAGTTCGATAATTGATTCCATTATTTTTTCAATTACTCTTAGATCTATATTTCAATTTTTTTCACTTTTATATGACATATAATAAACATTCATAGTTTCATCAAAGTAGGGACCCCTTGATAATGAAAAAAAAAAAAACCCTAGATTACACTTCCATTTCCAACGTATAAGTGAGTAAAAAATTTCTTCATTTAGTTATTCGAAACTTCGCTTAAGAATGAATCTGTAGTCTCTAATTTTAAAGTTTATCTATTGAAAGTAAACTTTAAGACTTGAGTTTCATTTTCGAAACAGTAATTTCTGTAACCTAACTGATATATATATATATATATATATATATATATATATATATATCAGTTAGATGCCATGCGTGATACACGCTTAGACGATCATGTATCTTTCGATACATGACTGATGAGGCAAATTTGTTTTCCCGCAGTAGGTTGCCATTTCTTTCTGCGGTAGGACAGTTGCCATCCAAGGCTGTAGAACTCGGTCTATCCTGTTTTTACCCACAGCTAGGGGGAGAAGAAGAGGATTCATACCTTTCCCAAGGGTATTCCTACGTAAGTGAATGTCATGGATTCGACTGGAATTCGAACTCGGCTCTCCGATTCCTCCCTCCGAAATGCTATCCATAATTAAGAATTAATGCTAATAATGCTTTAGCCAAGAAATTTAGTGCTGTGATGTACATAACTTGTTGATCTATCTATCTATCTATCTATCTATCTATCTATCTATCTATCTATCTATCTATCTAATTCGTATATATTGTTTTCTTGTAGGTATCTCTCCGTTTGTGTGCGGACCGATTCGTCTCTATGGAGGTTTCCAGAATTCCGAGGCTATGACCTTTGCCCTTGATTGGATTAACTCAGGGAAGTTTAGTTCACTCAAGGCGCATAATGTCAGTCTTGGTGCCCTGGGGTTTGATGGTTGTGCCACACCAGAACAAGCCAAGACATTGGCATTTGCTCTTCATTATGGACTTTTTGACACTAAGTAAGTTCAGAATTATCCTCTCTCTCTCTGACGCACACACTCTCTCACTCTCACACACTCATGCACGCACTCTCTCTTTTTACTTAGCATTTATTCTTATCGTATTTCATTTTCTTTCTTTTTTTATTTTTAATTTTCTTTCTTTCTTTCGTTATTTATTTAATTTTCGTTCTTTTATTTACTTTTCTTTCTTTTTTTTTACCTTTCTCTCTTTCTTTCTTTCTTTCTTTTATTTACCTTTCTTTCTTTCTTTCTTTCTTTCTTTCTTTTATTTACCTTTCATTCTTTCTTTCTTTCATTTACCTTACTTTCTTTCTTTCTTTTATTTGCATTTCTTTCTTTCTTTCTTTTATTTACTTTCCTCTCTTTCTTTCTTTCTTTCTTTCTTTTATTTACCTTCCTTTCTTTCATTTATTTATTTACATTTCTTTCTTTCTTTCTTTTATTTACTTTCTTTGTTTTTTCTTTTATTTACCTTTCTTTCTGCCTTTCTATCTTTTTCTTTCTTTTATTTACTTTTCTTTCTGTCTTTCTTTCTTTCTTTCTTTCTTTCTTTCGTTTTTTATTTACTTTTCTTTTTTTTGTTCTTTTTTTCCTTTCTTTCTTTCTTTCTTTCTTTTATTTACTTTTCTTTCTTTTATTTATTTCCTTTCTTTCTTTCTTTTACTACTCTCATACTCATACTTAAACACATTCTCTCGTTTTTGCACTCAGCTGTGAAGATTTATTCTTGTTGTCGTATTGTCTTTTTCATTTAGACATTGTCGTATGTAAACCAATTTTCCATCACCTATTATGATATATTTAAGGTACAGCTTATTACATTCTTTTGAAAGGAAACTTTTCTCTCCGGATAAAGGATTGTATGGAACCTAAAATCCCACTTTGCTGACTTCCCCATCTTTTCTAAGTATTGACATCTGGTAACAACTGATATTGACATCTAGTTCACATCTTTGCTTATCCCTTTGTATTTTGCAGTGGATTGCTTTTCCCTAATGTCTTCAAAGCTTCATCATCTGAGTCTGATGAATCACCTGTTCTAACACCGTTTCTATAGAATTAGACTTTCCAAATTGATCATTATAACTCCTTGGACATAAACACTACGTATTTTTCTAGATTCCCCTGTAGCGTTATTTCCTTGCTTAAACTCCTATAACATTACATTATATACACTATAGGCCAAAAATTGGGGCTACCCTCTAGGTTCAATAATTAGTAGGTTTCATGCCTTCTTTAGTTTAACTAACTCCTACTAAGTTAGGAATCTAAAACTATTTAACCCATTAGTGTATTGTGCCTAATTTTCTTTTTAAAGAGGGGGTTATCTGAAATTTTAAATCCACCACCCCTAACATTACAATTAGCCGGCATGGTAGATGTGGTAAAAACACCTCTAAAATTTTAAGAAATTTACGCAGTAATCGGTTAATTTTGTTTTTGTTGTTGTTGTTATTATTATTATTACTATCATCATCATCATCATCATCATTATTTTATTTTTATTTATTATTTCCTTGGATTTCTGTTGTATACACATTTCCTTCCGGGTCATAACCAGAGACCTAAGGTCAAAAATATTTTCATGGCATTTTCCACTGATTCTCTTTGTAAAAAAAATAAAATAAAATAAACCTCCAGAAGATAAATCTCTTCGTAATGTGTGAACTGTACAATCTCTTGTATTTCTTTAAGGCATGTGTCGGAGTTACTTCTTCTTTAGTTCCCTAATTCTTCACCAGGGGTCTCTTTCCCCATACTATAAATACTGGGAAACTTCTTGCATCTTTTCCCTTCAGACCTTGTGCCGAATCCCACCTCGAGTGGTGGTGAGGTAAATCTCTCTTTCTTCATTTCAACGACAAGATGTAAGCTCGCAGAGGATCAGCGTTTCCCATTTCTGGGAAAACGCTATGAACATTACAAACACTCACCGAAATACGAACATTCACCAAAGAACAAACACAATGTTCCCACACACAAATTTTATGTCTATGTGCCTTGTAATTTGTTTAATACATATTTGTTGATATATATATATATATATATATATATATATATATATATATATATATATATATATATATACAGGATTATTTCTTTGTATATAAATTATATGCTGCCTCATGTTTTATGCTTATAAAAAACTATCGATCCGCAGTACAAAAAAATTCCTATAAAAAAAGACAAACTACTACTAAGACATAACACTATATTAATTGAACTTTATACTTAGTTCATGACATATTAACTGAAAACACTTGTAAAAATAGAATACGTTGATTTACCACATCACAAGAAAAGTTCAAATAAAATTCTCACTTAAAATTTTGAAAAACTTAGCGTTGCATCTTTGCACGTTCCGATATTGTACACAACCGTCAATAATAGCACATTCTCAAAAAAAAAAAAAAAATACATCTTTCGGTCTACAAACAATTATTTCGTCTCCAAGTTTTGATTTTATAAGGAAAAGATATGCCTGACGATGAATAAAGGATTATTCGAAAGTACTTGCATTTTAAAAAAATATAAACTGGAAACAACAGACAACAGTTTTATAAATGAGGATCACATCACTCTATGGATTAACAGTATTTTAATGCATACATTATACACTACTAGCGATAGATGTCATCAATAATAGCATTAATATTGCTGTTTGATTCTATGCGTGATTATTTCTTTGTATATAAATTATATGCTGCCTAATGTCATATATATATATATATATATATATATATATATATATATATATATATATATGTCTTGTTTGTCTTCTTTCATCTTCGGATGGACAAATCAAGTCCGCCAATTTTCTTGTAGTTGGACCTTTTAATATTCTACCAGGAGTTACACACGTGTTTCTAATACAACCACACGTAAATACACACCCGGTCCTCTACACAAGGGCTACCAGGTATCCTTTCAATGAGTCTGTTGGAATCTTTTCCAATCAATCCGAGTGCTCCAACTACCACTGGAATTACTGATGTCCTCATGTGCCACATTTTTGAGATTTCTCCTTCAACATCTTTGTATTTTGATAATTTTTTTTTGAATTTACATTATAATCCGCAAGGACTGCCATGTCAATAAGAAAGCACATTTTGTTGTTGTGGTCTTTAGTCACTATGTCTGGGCGATTAGCTTTGATTCTTCTGTCCGCGTGTCTTGTAAAGTCCCATAATATGTTAAAGGTTCTATCTTTGTAATCGGCTCTGGATGATATTCATACTAGTTTCTTGCAGTTTCCTTCTCTTAAATTATTATCATTATTAATATTAGTATTGTTGTTGTTCTGATGTTTTTTTTTAACTGAATTATTATTAAAGTCCCGCTAGTCTGAAGCGAACGTATAAATTACTTTTGAAAAAGGCACGCGACCTTTAATTTTTAGGCGATTTATCGAAATCCAGAGGAGTTTCCACAAACTTTTGGCCTATAGTGTAATTGCATTTTCAATCCCTCCGTAAACACACAACGCGGCACTCGTCCAAGATATTCCACGACCGACCAATGATTACCAAATGTTACATTTCAGTTCTTACAAGATGAAAGACAAATGCCACGTTGAAAAATAAGAACATGAACCCTGTTTCCAGTATTATATGCAGATGTTATATAAGTTATATATTATAGGTTATACATTATACATAAATTATTATATGTTATATATTATATGTTATATATTATGTTACATATTATACGTCATATATTATATGTTATATTATATATGTTATACACTATACGTTGTATATTATATGTTATATATTATGCTATATATTATATACTATATATTATATATTATGCGTTATATAATATACGTTATATATTATGTTATATCTTATGTTATATATTATACGTTATATAATATACGTATATATTATATGTTATATCTTATGTTATATATTATTTGTTATGTATTATACGTTATACATTATATGTTATATATTATACGTTATATACTATACGTTACATATTATATGGTATATATTATATGTTATATATTATATGTTATATATTATACGTTAAAAGCTATAAGTTATATATTATATGTTATATATTATGTCATATATTGTATGTTATATATTATATATTATGCGTTATATATTATACGTTATATATCATATTATAATATATTATATATTATACGTTATATACTATAAGTTATATATTATATGTTATATATTATATCATATATTGTATGTTATATATTATATATTATGCGTTATATATTATGCGTTATATATCATATTATATATTATATGTTATATATTATACGTTATATACTATACGTTATATATTATATGTTATATATTATGTTATATATTATGTTATATATTATACGTTATATATTATACATAATATTTTATATGTTATATATTATGTTATATATTATATGCAAATGTTTTATGCAGGGCTTCTCTTGTTCGGTAGGTAGGAGACACTTGTGACAAATTCTTTTATGTCAGCTTTTCCCCATTACCAACTATTCGCCCATTTACACATCTCGACGTGTGGATGGTAATCGGAACCACGTGACAGACGGTGGACAAGAACTGACTTCGATCCCAAGCATGACAGTTAACATAGAACAACACCTGGATAGACTCTATTTCCGAGTTTGTTGTCACTTGATCTTCAAAATGCCCTTATCCCTTCCTATAATTTTCCTTTCCCCATTGGTCAAAATGGATACCACTTGAAATACAGTACAACTAAGTACACTAAGTACAGTACAAAATTGAGTACAACCACCTGCTGGACATTAGACAGAAACACTAGAGATCGAGAATAGTTCTGTTGCATAGCTGCCCCTTTATTTGGGGATGGTCTTGGGCGACGGCATCAATTCTATAATAAAGTTGCATTTTTCTCTTGCGGCCGATGATCGCTAGATGTTTCGGGTTAAGAGATGAAAGAACGTCAATTCAGGGAATTATAACCTAGGTATTTTATTACTGTTTACGTCAACATGGTCTATCTATCCTGTGAGCGACGTTTCTTCCATACTAGGGAGCCGTTACAGACACGAAAGAAAACACAACTATATTGTTTAACGGTTAAGACCAGACTCACTGAAAAAAAAAAACTCTCTCTAATCTATCATTCTCACGCTAGTTCAGCCAATCAAAATAGACTACCTTATTTTATCTTCCATCTGACCTCGAAAGTCAACCTCATGGATTCCGAGTCGAGATACCTTTCCACGAAAAATAATAGTCTGCTAAACTATTATTTTTCAGTTTTCTATGTGAGTGTCAATTGTATCACACTCTCCATTAATGAGATTTCAGAGATTTATTCTTTAATCCACTGTGTACGCCATCACTGCTGGGTACAAAATGATTAGTATGTTGCTGCACTCAAACTTTATTCTTAACTGGTATCTATGATTAGTAGCTACGATGATACTTTCGCCATAAGAATTTGTCCTTGCGATATATCTGATCTGGTGTTCCTGCTATATATTTAGAGATTCTTGATAGAATCCAAAAAAGTAACTGGAATATTATTGATGCTGGACTGATATTTCGGTCTCAGTTTTTTCCCAACCCCCGTAGCATAGATTTCCTGTGCCTTTTCTATAAATATTTTCTTGCTTTTCAGTCAATTTTAATCTTCATTAATTTAAATACCATGTCAATCGTTATCTACTGTCTTCCTGATTACTCTTCTATTGTTCTCACTCAATTTTCGCTTGTGGAACTCTCTTCCGGCTTCATGCTTTCCAGTCAACTTTGATCTTCAATAATTTAAATGCAATGTCAATCGTTATCTACTGTCTTCCTGATTACTCTTCTATTGTTCTCACTCAATTTTCGCTTGTGGAACTCTCTTCCGGCTTCTTGCTTTCCTGTCAACTTTGATCTTCAAAAATTTAAATGCAATATCAATCGATGTCTACTATCTTTCTGATTACTTTTCTATTGTTCTCAGATATATGCTCTAGACTTGAACAGGTTAAGATTTTATTTATCGGGAAAGCATCCTCTTGGGTAATGTTAATGCAATATCAATCGTTATCTTCTGTCTTCCTGATTACTCTTTTATTGTTCTCACTCAATTTTCGCTTGTGGAACTCTCTTCCGGCTTCTTGCTTTCCAGTCAACTTTGATCTTCAAAAATTGAAATGCAATGTCAATCGTTATTTTCTGTCTTCTTAATTGTTGTTTTTATTGTCCTATTTCCTTAATAGAAGTTTTTCTCATATTCTCTAACACTCAGGACTCCCCTCCCGCCCCCTAGTGGCTTTATTGCCTTACTTTGATTGAAATGATTATACATTATCCAACTTTCTTTTCAGGCGCCTTGGTATCGAAAACTTTTTACCTTCTCTACTGCAAGGTTGGCTAAGTTATGACAGCGGTAGCACGATTAAAATGTCTTCCATCCTGCAACCCATCGGCGTGCCACTGGTTAGCCCAGGTGCAACATCTCCGGCCCTTCTCGACAAAACAACTTACTCGACATTCTTCAGGAGCATACCGTCTGATCTTGAAGTCGCCAGAGTGATGGCAAAAATGGTCAAGGTGCTCGGCTTCAGTTACATCATCACCTTAAATGCACCGGACGCCGGCAGCAAAGGTGCTTTGGAAGAATTCCGCAAAACGGTCGAAGCTTTGGATGTCTGCATTGCGTCTTCGCTTGAGTTTGGCACAGACACGACGGCTGATAATCTCATTTATAACATCGTCATGTCAAGCACTCGTGTTGTGGTCGTTTTTGCAGAATTTGGACGCGATATACTGAACTTATTGAACGCCAAAATGAAATTTACAGCCGGGAAAGACATTGTGTTTATATCAAATCGAGGCTGGTACCTGCCCTCTACCATGTCGAACTATGTTATCGAAAAGGCGATTATGTTTCAGGTAAGCGACCTTAAGCACGGAGAAACAAAACGTGTCTTTTTTTTTTAAAGAAATAACATTGAGAAGAAAATTAAATTGAAAAAATTCTCATATTTTTATGAAAATTAATTACAGATATAATCCTAATTGTGATAATTTTTAATTATTGAAAAAGTTGTCAAAATTGGAAATGATATAAAAAACAAAAACAAAATATGCGACAGAAATATTCGTGAGTAGAAATTAATAATTAATTTGAATAATAAAGACACATTTCTAGCGCTCGATGGAGTAAAGGATAGTGGCTCGTATTGGGGAATCAGAGAGTCGAGTTCGAATTTCAGTCGAATTCGTTATATTCACCTACATGCTAATTCTCTTGGGAAAAGGCATGAAACCATCTCATTTCTCCATACCTATGGGTCAATATCAGGACAGAATTGGATATATATATATATATATATATATATATATATATATATATATATATAGATAGATAGAATAGATAGATATAAAAGAGATAGATAATATATATATACAAATTTACAATGGTGTCTCAATTCAGATTATATATATATATATATATATAATAAAAAACAACAATAAAAATATCCAAATGTTAGACAATTTTTGTCTTTATTTTCACCCGAAATTAAAGCAAACATACAAAGTTGAGAGAGCCTAATGATCAAACATAATAGACATTCAGTGTCTGTTATATTTAACAATATATATATATATATATATATATATATATATATATATATATATATATATAAAAGTGAACATTGAAGTCAACACTCAGAGGCAACAGGCTATTTCATGCTGTCGCCTCTGATCTGAGTGTTGCCTTCAATGTTCACTTTATATTTATATACGCTCTACCTCTAATATTGAGCACTTTATCCCATATACATATAGCACACCTTAAAACTATATTTCTTCATATATATATATATATATATATATATATATATATATATGTGTGTGTGTGTGTGTGTGTTTTAAGACAAAAGTAGGCAAAGCAATAGCAACAAAGCAAAAAGTTTAGAAGTAAGAATGGTATTAGCATACAAAAGTGTAACAGACATTGGATTGAAGCGGTCAGATTTCCAAACAAGGACGGATAGAAATATGAAGGTTGTGGCCGAGAAGAGGTTTACGTTATAAATTTTGAAATAACAAACTTACTAAACATTCATCGGAATATATACACAATATTACTAATCACACTAGTTACATTATTCGGACTATTGTCCTCATCTTTGTCGCCATATTTATTCCAACGTTTCGGCCCTTCAGTATCTGTCTATATTTCTGAGATGAGGTGTTATGTAAACTATTTACATTATTCGGACTATTGTCCTCATCTTTGTCGCCATATTTATTCTAACGTTTCGGCCGTTGTATCCTCCGACCTTCTTCAGGTGGTTAGATTGTCCGAATGATGTAACTAGTGACCATAATACCTCATCTCAGAAATAGACAGATTACTAATCATGTACCATAATATATAGAATTATATACACAATATTCTGAAATGTAGGCTAAAGCTTACAAGTTCAAAAAATGTTTAATATTTTTTTGTTTTGTTTTCAGAAAGACTTTCCAATTATCAATGAATTCAAAAGCTGGTTGCAGAAAAAGACACCGGCCAATCATGACATGTCAAATCCGTGGTTCATTGAATATTTTGAAAAATACTACAACTGCTCCATGGGTATCGACTGCTCCAAAAGGCAGTCCCTGGTCAGTGGTCGCTTCGTACAGGATGTCACTGTTGTTCCGACTATTGATGCCGTCTTTGCTCTGGCTACAGGTCTGGAGAAAACTCTGGAAAAGAAGTGCGGACAAGCTTATTCCGGTGTCTGCAGTAAGTTTCTTTACGACAAAGACACTCGAGAGATGTTAATGCAGAATATGGACTCGATGAAGCTGAAAACGATTTACAACGCTGATTTTAAATTCGTTAACCGGGAACGGGAAATGAAAATAGTGATCAAAAGAATCGCCAATGGAAGCGTAGATTACGTAAGTCGGAATCACTTTATACTTATATTAATCAGTCACGTGTGTATTTTCTTCATCCATTTTTGAATTGTCTTCATTCTTCAAACGGACAAAACAACTCTACGAGAAGCAGCAATAAATATCTTTTTTTATTTTGATTTATTTTAAGATAGATTTAAATATTTCTTTCATTATCAGCCAAAATACGTATACGGATATTGTTTTAATGCCCCCCACCCCACAAAATACTTATACAGATTTTGTTTTAATGCCCTCCAACCCCCAAAATACGTATGCAGATTTTGTTTTAATGCCATCCATTCCTACAAAATACGCACACAGATTTTGATTTAATGCCCTCCACCCCACAAAATACGCACACAGATTTTGTTTCAATGCCCTCCACCCACAAAATACGTATGCAGATTTTGTTTTAATGCCCTCCAACCCCCAATATACGTATGCAGATTTTGTTTTAATGCCATCCATTCCTACAAAATACGCACACAGATTTTGTTTTAATGCCCTCCACCCCACAAAATACGCACACAGATTTTGTTTTAATGCCCTCCAACCCCCAAAATACGTATGCAGATTTTTGTTTTAATGCCTCCACCCCTAAAATACGTATGCAGATTTTGTTTTAATGCCCTCAGCCCACAAAATACGTATGCAGATTTTGTTTTAATGCCCATCCATTCCTACAAAATACTTTTGAGATTTTGATTTAATGCCCTCCACCCAACAAAATACGCACACAGATTTTGATTTAATGCCCTCCACCCAACAAAATACGTATGCAGATTTTGTTTTAATGCCATCCATTCCTACCAAATACGCACAGAGATTTTGTTTTAATGCCCTCCACCCAACAAAATACGCATACAGATTTTGTTTTAATGCCCTCCACCCCACAAAATACGCACACAGATTGTGTTTTAATGCCCTCCACCCCACAAAATACGTATGCAGATTTTGTTTTAATGCCATCCTCACCCACAAAAAAAAGAATAAAAAAAAGAACGCGCACATGCAGATTATGATAAAATTATGATTATTACAGAAGTTGCAATAAGGACAACATGTAAGTAATGATGAGTATGATATATATAAAAAAGTATGGATGATATAATGAAAAAAGAATAAATATGATATATAAAAGAATAAGGATGTCAAAAATGTAATAATGATGACATGCAAAAAAGAATATTGATGACATATAAGAAAGGAATAACGATGATATATAAAGATTAATAAGGCTGACATATTGAAAAATGTGAATGATATGAAAAACAATATGGATGACATATAAAAAAGGAATATGGAAGACATAAAAAAAAGGATAAGGATGATATAAAAATTAATAAGGCTGGCATATTGAAAAATGAGGAAAACAAAAAAAATGAATACTGAAAAGTTTCGAAAACTACACCAGGCCGACTTATACATGAGTAACAACATAATTTTTTCATCTTCACTAAAACCATTATTATGACGATCCAAAAAATAAATGAAAATAAAATTGCGGGCAAAATATTTAGATTTCGGCATTGAATAATCCATAGAGTTTGACATGGCGCCAAACAAAATGAACCAATCAAAAACCAATATGAAAGAACTTTTTCAGGACATCACATAATATCCTACAATTTCTTAAATCAAACTGTGTTTAACTTTAACAAAACTACTACATAAAGCACACATCAAATCACCGCCTCTAGTAATCATGTTCACACAAAAATGTATACTGAGATTTAGGCTCCTCCACTGCTCTCAATCTCATCTTCAGAGGTAGTTCCTGTTCCACCTTTAACCTTCTCTCAGTGTTCAATTCACCCTCAGGTGATGTTTCGTCCCTTTCCTTTTTGCCTGATTCTTCCTTCTGCTTCGAGTCTGTGCCTTGGACTTCTTCAGTACTTCTTGATTCAACGTCTAAATCTCCCTTGTTTCTTAGCCTTTCTCTGAGCTGAGAAAAGAGTATCTTTAGAACCCTTGACTGCTTGACTGGATTTCCTCGCTTTTCTTTCTTTTCAGGTGGTTTAAACTCAAGGTTTCCCGTTTATACAAACATGTATTCGCAAAAAAGTTGAGTATCATCTACCTTGTATTCAACTGTGAAAGCAGAATAACGTATATCGTATTTTTGTTACTTCAAAGCCCCCAAGAAAAATAAATTTCAGCATAAATGACCCATGGAAGTGTTGATATGCCTTTAAACAAACAAATCATTCAACCAAGCGGAGTTGTTAAAGATTTGGCTCGCACGAACGAAGACGAAGAATCTTTCAAGTAATTCCTGAGCTGTTAATTGACTGTTGAAGGCATACAATTGCGTCCAATTATATTAAGCTGAAGCCATAGAATTGTGTTCAAAATATTTAGAATTCGGCATTAAGTAACCCATAGAGGTGTTGATATGCTGCTAAACAAAAAAACGACCAACTAAATATTTAAGCAGTGCCAAGACGTGAATCCAACTCTTTTTCCGTAACCAGTACTGGGGAGAGAATTTCCAAGCCGCCTCTCTCCGGTCGGAAAAGTAGATACTGGGACAAACAAATTCGATCTGGCGTGTCTTGCAAGACTTTTTAAAGAGCGTGTCTTACTTGGCAACCGTTGCTATCGAGTGTGATTTGACTCGAGGATTAGACTTTGAGGAACTCATTGCCCGTTTTGCTTCAATGAAAGTTCGAAAACTTCATTTTTAAGCTGCTTTGGAACTGGTTTTAGTCTTCGTATTTTTTGTGACAAATATTTATGCATGTCATTCTAATAATCCCATCGGGAATATTCCGAAGCCAACTTAACTGTTGAACAGAGAGAGAGAGAGATAGAGAGAGAGAGAGAGTGAGTGTGTGTGCGTGTGTGTGTGTGTATGTGTGTAAAAGAGAGAGAAGATAGATAATATCAAAGAGAGTAAAGAACTGGGATAGATAGACAATAATACAATAGACAGGGAGTGTAAAAGAGAGAGAAGATAGATAGATAGATAATCAGAGAGAGTAGGGAACTGGGATAGATAGACATGAATATAATAAAATAGATAGAGAGCGTAAGAGAGAGAGAGAGAGAGAGAGAGGATAGATAGACAGATAATGTCTGAGAGAGTAAGGAACTGGGATAGATAGACATGAATAGAATAGAGAGTGTAAAAGAGAGAGAGAAGTTAGATAGATTGATAGATAGATCATGTCAAAGAGAGTAAGGAACTGGTATACATAGACATGAATAGAATAGAATTGACACTTGGCAACTCTTTGGCACAAGAATTAGACTTTGAGGAACTCATTGCTAGTTTTGCCACAATGGAAGTTCGAAAAATTCATTTTTAAGCTGCTTTGGAACTGGTCTTCGTATTTTTTTTCAATAAATTACCAGTTCATAATTTTGCTCTCTACTTTTTGTAAAGAAGGAACCCCCTTCAAACCCTTCCTGACATCCCTTGAGGCCCGGCATATTTGTGCCGGCTGTCCCCAACTCTCGCCGCCACTGCCCCAACTGCTACCCACGGATAAAATATTGTGGCAAACCGAACTGTCTAACTAGGAGAAGGGTTACTCTGCATTCAAACTATGTTGAAGGAAATGGCAAACCATTACAAGATCTTTCGCTTGAAGTTATGGAAATTCGCAGCCATTTAAAATGAGAAATAAAGAAAAGCGAATAAAATAAACTGTGAAAAAGTAATGTTTCAGAAACTACAGCACTATCTTTTTTTCTGATGTATGGTGGCCGTTAATGATTAAATATAACTCAAGACTTCAATGTTAAAATAAAACAGTATTTAATTACAACCGCAATTAAATACTTAACAAGAACAAAGAAATAAAAGTCAACCAAAGATAATTAACCCTTTCAGTGAATAAATTATTAGTAGCGCGGCACGGATTAATGTCCGGTAAATCCTAAACCAAAACCCAAATCATCGACGCATAATAATTCACCCTAATTCGACTGGATAGTTCCACTCAATAGTCACTCCAGTCAGTAGCCTGATACCGCTATTTATACACCTGGCGGAAAACATATATTCATAAGTCCAGAATGTCACGCTCGAACTTCAGTGTCGGTAGTTACTCATTTTCTTTCTATATGACACGTTTCTAAGAAGTTATGCCAATGCAGGAATAATAAGAAACAAGATCTGTGGAATTTACGATCCTGAAAAGGAAGGGCATGAAAAAGATGACATCAACCAAGATTACAAAAGTCAGTCTAGTCTGTTCATTTTCACACAAATGGCCTTGGAAAAGTTAAGAATCTTTCTCTGCCCCTCCAGCTATGGGTTAAATATTAGAGTACGGTCTAGAAGTAGGATAAGACTTAAAGCTGAGAAGGAAGCAAGTGGAAAGCAGCTCATTACCTGGTTCAAGAATACATAGCAATTCACATATAATAAGCAAAGGAACCTGTGGCGAGTCATGATCGCTTATGTCTTGAAGGGAGACGGCATGAGAAGAAATGACATCAGCCAAGATTTCAAATTCCTATTTTGTTTGTTGCGTTCACTTTCACACAAATATCATCAGAAAAAGCGTGGATCTGTCTCTTTTCCTTCAGTTACGAGTTAACTTGTAGGGTAGACTTGGCTCTTTAGCCATGAGTGGCAGCCAGTCTAGGAGACAGTAACGCTTTATTAGAAAATGTTAAGAAGGCAACGAAAATATACTCAACTATATTTCCAAAGAATGACTGACAATTCACAGATAATAAAGAAAACGAATCTATGGGAGGGGGGCTACGGGTTAAATAGTAGTGTAGACTGGGGTATCTAACCTTGGTTGGAAGTCAGTCTAAGAGTAGGATAACTTTGAATTAAGAATCATGGAGAAGGCAGTGTGAAACCATTCTACTATATTTCCAAAGTGGTCATTGCAATTCACAGATAATAAAGAAGAGGTACATTTGGAGAGGTACGGGTTAAATAGCAGAGTAGACTGGGTTCTATAGCCTTGGGTGGCAGCCAGTCTAAGAGTAGCATAACTCTAAATTAAAAAAAGGAATGTGATGAAGACAAACAAAAACTACTCCACTAGATTTCCCAAGATTGCCTGGTGCACTGACTACTGTTGCCATATATGGTCTGGTGCCCTTGCTGTTAATCTCAAGGTCCTCGACAAAATCCAGAGACTGATATGCAATATCATAGGTCCTGATCTGGCAACTCGTCTACAGTCACTTTCTCACAGATGTGCTGTGGCTTCTCTCTGTCTTTTCTACAAATATTTTCATGGCAACTGATTTGACGAGCTACTTTCACTGGTACCCCAATTGCATGAATTGAAGCCTGCTACTAGGTTGGCATTTCGGTTTCACCCTTTCAATGTCGAAACAGTTAAATGTAGTCATCTCTTCTACTCCAGCAGTTTCTTTCGCACTTCCTGACTTTCTTCCACTTGCTTATATAATCTTCAAATATTCAAATGTAATGTCAATCGACATCTTCTGATGCCCTGATCCTGATCCCCGTCTTTCTCTATTTCCTTTTCTCAAACACCCCTCTTTACTCTTGTTCTCACTCACTGTAAATCCTTGTGTGATAGTGGCACTCCCGCCTTGCTTGGGAGGATATGCTTAAAAAAAATCTAGAAAGCATGACTCGTTCAAAAAACACGCACTCTTTTATATTCGGACTGGAGGAGCGGTCGGAATGCGAAGCATTCCAGGCATTAAATGCGGGGTAGCATTTCCGAGTGGATTGGGACGATTTTATTTTGCTTTCACTCATCACTGATTCTTTTTTTTTTGTTTGCATGAGAACTTGGCAGGATCTATTTAAAAACGTCGATGCGGATGACCTGCTATCCATCATAAAATTACTGGGTCTATATTCCAAAATATGAAGATTTTAAGATTTGTTGTTTGAAAATTATTAATACTATATTAATACTATCCTCTCTCTCTGTATATATCTCTCTCTCTGTATATATATCTCTCTCTGTATCTCTCTCTCTCTCTCTCTCTCTCTATATATATATATATATATATATATATATATATATATATATATATATGTGTGTGTGTGTGTGCAATATATATATGTGCAAATATGTAGAAAAATAGGAAAGAACAGGTTAGGTAAATAATCCAAGGTTCTTTAGTATTTTTGTTTTTATTTAAAAAAAAAACAGTGCTCTATACAGAAGTAGAGCTTAAATTATAATTATTTAAAAAATAAATATGATCCTTCGCTGCATAAGAGTTCTCATGTTTTAAAAACAAGACCCAAAAATTCTCAAGCGAAAATTTAAGGATCCTAAATGTTCGCTTGAGGATGAAACAGGCCTTGATACTTTAATCCAATTTAATTTCAATAATTATATTGAGGTTTTTGGCTCTTGTTTTTGAAACATGAGAACTCTTATGTAGCGAAGGAATCATATCATATTTTTAAAAAAATACTCCAAAATATGGGAATTTCACATTTATTGTTTGAGCATTATTAGTTACTTGCTTGTGTGAAATGCTTAAAAACAATTCACAGAAAATAAAGAAAAGGAATCTATGCAAAACTAGGTTTTTCTAGACTTTGATGGCCCCCAGTCTAGATGTAGAATTACAAATGTGAAGAAATACAAATGTGAAGAATTAAAAATGTGAAATTCAAAAGAAATCTAATAAAGAAAAATGAACCTGGCCTGAATGTTCGGACGAACCACAGTCCTTGCTTCCGCCAGCTTTAATCTTTACAGCTAGGACCCGCCAGTCCACTTACATAGTAGCAAACCAGCCGCGTTCCCTTCGTATTCCATCGGTGAGAAGTAAGTTCCACTTGAACAACTTCTTCCCACGAACCACTGTCCTATGGAAGAGACTCCCTAGAGTATGTCTCTCTGATCACTACAATCTTAACCTGTTCAGGTCTGGAGTTATCCATTATTTTTCCCTTCCTGTCCATATAAACTACACCTTAACGTAACTCTCTACCTTGAGTGGCCCTTAGGCCTTGTATCAGGTCATCCCATAAGTTCTGTCCGAATTTTGAATAAAGAAAACAAGTGACCAAATGTTACATTTAATTACAGATTCAATCAACAATGTATTTTCCCTGATTATCTATGACTTCCTTCCATCTATTAACAAGCTTACTAATTCCATTACTGTAAAATTCTTTTGGTTTTCATTCGAAGAACTCACAAATATCAGTTTTAACATCTTCCTGTGTTACAAAAGCTGTTTCTTCCAAATGATTCTGTAAGCTATGAAACAAATGGTGGTCTGAAGGAGCAAGATCGGGAGAATAAGGTGGATGAGGAATTTTCTCCCAACCAAGTTCTTTGATCTTTTGTGACGTGATTCTTGCTGTGTCGGGTCGCGCATTGTCCTGATGAAACATCACCTCTTTTCGATTCCCTGGAGATAGAGCTTTTTTTCTTCAATGCTTGGTTCAAACGCTTTAATTGCTGCAGTATATTTGAGCATTAATTGTTGTATTAGGTGGTAAGAATTCAAAGTGGATTATTCCTTGGGGATCCCACCAGATTGAAAGAAGAACCTTTTTCCCATGAAGTTCCCTTCTTGGATGTGGCTGGAGTCCTCCCCCTTTACCAAGCCACTGTCTACGACGCTTAACATTTCAATAAAACATCCATTTTTCGTCGCCAGTCACAAGTCTATCTAAAAAAGGTGAAACAGGTTGGCGAGAATGGAGAGAAGAGCAGATGTCAACTCGGGATTTGAGGTTGTTTTCAGACAATTCATGAGGCACCCATTTTCCAAGTTTAGGAACTTTTCCAAGTTGTTGAAGATGACGATGAACAATTGTATGGTTTGAACTGAGAATCACTGCCAATTCCTCAACTGATAAAGCAGGATTTTCTTCAAGGGCTGCTTCAAGAAGCTTTTCATCAAACTCAACTGGACATCCGGTTCGATCCTCATCTTCAAGGGTGAAATCTCCACCTCTGAATTTTGCAAACTATCTTCTGCAAGTTCTTTCATTCACACATTCCTCTCCATAAACTGAGTGAATGTTTCTAGCCGCTTCGGCTGCTGAGTTTCCTTTCTTGAACTCATAAAGCATTATGTGCCTCAAATGATTCTTGGGTACTTCCGTGTTAGCAGAGTTTTAATCAAACAAAATTTAATTTTATTGTTCTCTGAAATAAAATTTGATCAGTTTAAATGCATCTAAAGATAAAAATAATGTTCAGCTCCATTAGACATTATAAAATACTCTTTAAATTTCGTTCATTTTAACAAAAAGTCAAAATTCGAACTTATGCGATGACCTGATACATGGTGAACCTTACTGTAAAAAAAAAACGAAGATTATCAACCAATATTTTTACTATCTTAACCTATTCAAGTCTAGAGTTAACCGTTATCTTATGCTCCTATCCATATAAACTACCGCATAACATATAACCCTCTACATTAAGTGGCTCCCGGACCTTGTACAGGGTGAACATTACTGTAAAAAAATATCAACCAATATTTCTACAACCTTAACATATTCAAGTCTAGAGTTAACCGTTAACTTCCCCTCCTATCCATATGATCTTCCTTTTAACGTAACTCTCAACCTTGAGTGGCTCCAGGGCCTTGTACATGGTGAACATTACTGTAAGTAAAAAAAAATTATAAACCAATATTTCTATAATCTTAACTTATTCAAGTCTAGAGTTAACCGTTATCTTACCCTCCTATCCATATAAACTACCTTTTAGCGTACCCTCTACCTCGAGTGGCTACCAGGCCTTGTACAGGGTGAACCTTACTGGAAAAAAAAATCAACCTATATTTTTTACAATCTTAAGCTATTCAAGTCTACATTTAACCGCTAACTTTCCCTCCTATCCATATAAACTACCCTTTAAATTAACCCTCTAGCCCGAGTGTCCCACCCACTGGCCTTGTACAGGGTGAACCTTACTGGAAAAAAAAATCCACCCAGATTTTCCCGATTTTGCATCACGTAACGTAACCGAATAAGCTGACATAACTCGGTATATATAAATGCGTTGTTTTTTTTATGTTTACAATTCTCTTTTAATTGTACCCAGAATGATAAATGTCTTTGTTTCATAGATTGCGGAATATGCAAACAACACGCTGAATTATTATAGCAACGAGGATGAAATTGTTCGAGAGTATGAACGTGTCCTGTCAAAATGTTACGGATTTTGCGCCAAATGCGAAAGCAAGTCGAAAAACACCGAAAAATTCATCTTCACCCCAGGAGATTTTATACTTGTCGGTAAGTAACGAATATAAGTCTTTTAAGATTTAGGACCGCTTCCTTGATAACTTTAATATGGCACATTGTCAATGAAGTCTACTTAAAAAAAAATGATAGCGTGCCAGTAAAGCTTTTTAGCATCATTAAACTGTTTTATTCTGTCTGAATTTCTGGGACGGGGAGTTGTCATTATATGTATGGAAAAATTGCGCCCCGAAGATGACAATTTGAAATTGTCAAAAGTACTTGGCTCGTCAATTCCATCTGACAAATATAAGGATCGTATTATTCAAGGAAATGAAAATAAGTCAATGCCTCATTAAGTCTTGTTAGCGAAGTGATTTCGCCATTAATCACATTAACATTGCTAATTAATTCTTTTGTATAAATTGATTCTGTGTATATATATAAAAGTAAAAAAACGAAAAAGTTCTTAGAGTCATTGAAAAAAGAATAGAATCAATTATTAAACTTATACTTTGAGAAAACTTTAATGAAGTCTAAAGGAGGATATTTTCACAAGAGCGAAATTTAATCTTTAATTTAATTCTTTTTTTCTAATTGACATAATAAAATTTCTAAAAAAAAAAAAAAATTACACCTGACTTTTTTTAATAATTTTCTCTTATTTAAAGTACAAAACAACTACTTTTTGGGGCCAATTTCTAACATTACCAGGAGGCGCCTTAAACTTTTGAACTCTATTATATATATATATATATATATATATATATATATATATATATATAAAAGAAAAACAGACCACTTTAAGGTACCATTACAATAATTTATTTCATCAGAGTCCTTTTAAAAGGACGCCGGATCATCAGATAGCACTTCCAACAACGAGATGAAAGGAAAATGAGATTAAAATTGATGAGTAGTGGAAGATTTTGTAATTTAACAGGGGGTGTGAGAGGGATAGTTAAAGAGACATGGTAGAGTATAGGGAGGGGTTAATTTCTTATCTCTCTCAACTGTACTTTATATTGGGGTAGGAGGAGTGACCAGACCTTGAACTATTTAGATGGTTAACTTAACGGAAATGATATATAGAAATGGGAGGGGAGTAGGGAGAAAAGAAAAATGAAAGAGAAAGAGGAGACAGAAAACAGTAATACGGATATATACAAATGAGTGTTACAGCAAGGAGAGAGAGAGAGAGAGAGAGAGAGAGAGAGGGAAGTAAATCGAAAGAGGCTGTAATTGGGTTTTAACAATTTATGTAAAGGATAGATTTCAATGCTTGATAGAAATTTAAATGTCTAAAAAAATTTGATGATTGCTATCAATTTAAATATTTAATTTTTCAAGCAAATAGTTTAGGGGCTTAATATAAGTTGACTACTATTTTTATTAAACACATTTATCGAGAACATATTACAGAAATATTTTAAATTATAATAGTTTATTTACCCGACCAATCGTACTTCCTTAATATTGTAAAAAAAATTACGGTAACATCTAAATATATATATATATATATATATATATATATATATATATATATATCGATACTAGATACACCTAGTGAACCAGACAAACCTATCTAGGTTTCACCTAAACGGATCGTCAGGGAAAGTTTTGCTCTACGGTTGTATTGAGCTCTTTTGTTAGTTAGTTGTTTACTCGTATCGGGGTTTTTTCTTTGGGCTTCAGACCTGCATCTGTGCGATTTTTTTGTCGGCAGAAGTCCATGTTTGTAGCTCTTTCTTTTTTTAAACCTTTTTTCCCTCGAGATTGATTTGATTAGCAAATCAAAAATTCGAGGTTTTTCGAAACGAGTCTAGTTATCTATATCTATATATCTATATATATATATATATATAACTATTTGGTTAACTATTTGCCCATAGCTGAGACCCTGACAGGTGCTACCACTTTGGGTCAGAGAGGACCTGCGAACACCAACCATTAAGAGGTGGTTCCACGCCCCTCAAAACGTCCTGATCAGAGGCTTTGCTGTTGGACGTAGTTTATCGTCTTACTCAGGACGCGGACGTAGTTTATCGTCTTACCCAAGACGCGGATGTAGTTTATCGTCTTACCCAGGACGGCTTAGAGTGTTTTCGAAACTGATGTGCCTTCGTTATTATAACCGGCATGTGTAATCTTTTTCGAGCAGTGGGCCTGATGGCCGAGTCAAAAGTTCTGCCTTTTATCAAGTCGTCGACATTTTTCCCCTCTTTTCTCTTTGAGAAATATTCATTCAGGAATAGAATCATCTTTCACTTGTTCTTCCTGATTTACTTACAGGCAATGAAGAAACCCGCTAAATCTTAGAATTGCCAGTTAATCATTTAGACAGTCAAATCAAGAATGAATGATGTCCGTATAATAGGAAAAAAAGTAAATCATATATTGACAAACCTCATCTTTGTATTTTTAAAATGTTTCTATCTCGGCCGATTTGTTCTCCGTCCTTCTGATCCTTGGTGATTAAAACTTGTTAAGCATCTGTTTATTTTCTTTTTTTTCTTTTGATAAGGTCTTTTTGATGTGCACAAGAAAGGAGCCACGCCCTATACCTGTGGCGCGATTAACGGCAAGCAGGGTTATCAACTGGTCGAAGCTTTTAACTACGCAGTCAATTACGTCAACAGTCGGCAAGGGATCTTCAGTCAAATCTTTCGGGGCGTCACCCTCGGCTCATTGTCCCTAGACGTTTGCCAGAGCCCACTGAGAGCTGCCAACCTGGTTACAAATCTACACAACCAGAATGTACAACTATTTAGCAATTTTTCTAACACGGCCATTGATTCGAACGATTTCCAAGTGTACATAGGTCCATTCGACAGCGCGTCGTCCATTCGGGTGGCCGAAGTGCTGACCAAACTAGGCGTTCCACAAATCAGTTACGGGGCCACCAGCGTCGAACTCCGCAATGAGAACTATCCGTTCTTTCTGCGTACAGTACCGGCCGACGACAAGCAAGCAAGAGCCATGGTTGCTTTCCTGAAGAGATTTGATATTAAATACGTGCAAGTGATAAACACAAATGACACAGTTGGTCACAATGGCAAAGAAGAATTCGCTAAGCTGGCCTTTATTAATAAAATTTGCATCGTTCAGAACATAAGCCTTAAACGGGAGGAAGCCTTAACTCAAAAAGACGCCGATATAGGTGTCGCGAAATTGTTAGCGTTTCCCAAAAGTAATGCAGTTATTGTATTTACCGCAAATCCACGACTTATTCTTTTAGCCGCCGAGAAAAATAGTCAAGTCGCTGGAAGGTTTCTCTTTTTGGCCACTGACAAATGGGGTGCTGACCTTGACATGCTAAAAGGGCTTGATAACTTACTAGCTTACCGACATGTGGTCATATTTGATATAGAAACGGCCGATCTTCCCGGCTTCGATATATATCTTGACAAGAAGACACCAGTTACAAACTTTAATAATCCTTGGTTTGACGAATATTATCAGCTTCTGTATAAGTGTAGTATAGGCACTCCAACCACCCAATACCCGAAACAGTGTTTGCATACAACTTATAAGACTTTACCAAGAGCTAACTCCTATATACAAGATCCGTATGTTCTTTACGTCGTGAATTCAGTCTTTTCTGCCGCTATTGGAATCCATAAAACTCTGCAGAATATCTGTGGAATGAATTATCGAGGACTCTGTCTGAACTTCTTGAACAGTGGAGACCAAAGACAGGAAATTCTTCGAGGAATTAAAAAAGCTGAATTTCAAGACGCTACCAGGCAGCCGTTCTTCTTCGTCGAAGATATCTTTGAAAGCGATCGGGGATACCATATTTATGAGCCAGTTGACTCAAACACCGGAAGCAAAAGTTACAGATACGAAAATGTAAGTAATAAATAAATAAATTTTACTCACTACAAAGATGCAACTTCGTTTCAGTGCATTTCAACTGCACTTCGACGGGTGAGAATCGAAAATGGTTATGAACAATCCTGTTTGTAGGCAAGCCTTATTTGAAACATCACTTCCTTTTTCTATTTGTTCGAGAAGAAAAATATACATAAAAAAAGAAACAATAGTGCTTGTTGATAGCAGTTTGGTGAAGAATGGATTGGGTGTTTAATGTTGGCTGGTCTGTGGAGATTTTTCTTGCCGATAGACACCGGTCAAAAGTTTAGGCACATCATCTCACATGATAAGGATCTAACACTACAATCTTGTCAAATTCTTAATTCCATAACTATAAACGGTTTAAAATTATAAATCACCTTCTATATATTCCCTACCCTCTTATTTAACTCTCCACTAATTAAATTATGATTCTTACATTTTTTTTATTCATATATATTACTGGTAATATTTTCAGATAAAACGTTTTACACCCATACTTATTCTACACTCTATACTGTCCAGGAATATTTCAAAATTTGATTTTAAAAGATTATATTAGTGCCCCTTATATTTTTAGAGGAAATCACCACTTCTTAATTTTAATCTACAAAACACTTTCATTGATTACAGAATTAGTAGTGATAACCCCAACATAAATATATACAATTTATCTCTAGATTTCTTTTCATAGTAAACCAAAAATAACATTCCCAGTTAGTACTAGAACTAGCGCTAGAATTCTACCAATTCCAACGTATCACTACCCCCTATCTCCTCCTCCCCTCCCCTACCTCTGACTCTTAGGACGCTTGTGAGATGATGTGCCTAAACTTTTGACCGGTGTCTATCGGCAAGAAAAATCTCCACAGGCCAGTCAACATAAAACACCGAATCCATTCTTCACCAAACTGCTATCAACAAGCACTATTGTTCCACTCCGTCACCTATTTTTTAAGTATATTTTTCTTCTCGAACAAACGGAAAAAAAGGAAGTGACGTTTCACATAAGGCTTGCCTACAAGCAGGATTGTTCATAACCATTTTCGACTCTCACCCGTTGAAGTGCAGTTGAAATGCACTGAAACGAAGTTGCATCTTTGTATTGAGTAAAATGGTTTTGTCTCTATGATAAAATTATAATAAATAAATAATTATCGCTCTACTATCGGTATCGAACCCTCTTTTGGATTAATGCTGTGAATATTGGAATTTGTATATTACTTTCGTTCTCATCACCATATATATATATATATATATATATATATATATATATATATATATATATATATATATATATAAAAAACAGAGTAGATAAGTTGGTTAATAAAACAAAGGCAAAGGATTAAGGTTCCAAGTTCGGAATTTTCGGACACTCCTACGTCCTTCATCAGCGGATGCAGGAAATAAACAGAGAAACGGTGGAGACTCACCAGCAGTAGTTCTTGAGGCCACCGATTCGCTGTTTATGTCTCACATCCGCTGATAAAGGACACAGGCGTGTCCGAATATCCCAAACCTTAATCTCCGTGCCTCATTTCTGCCATGTCGTTAATATTAATACATACATACATGCATATACATCCTATCTTTGGTATTAGGATAGAGTTCAAGGAGAGTTGGTTTCATGCCTTTTCGAATTGGAGCTGACTTCATAAAGTAAATCTTATGTTTGGTTTTAGCATCGAGCTCAAGGAGGATTGGTTTCATGCCTTTTCGAATTTGAACTAAGTTCATAGAGCAAATCTTATCTTTGGTGTTAGGATAGAGCTCAGGGAGAATTGGTTCCATGCCTTTTCGAATTGGAGCTGACTTCATAAAGTAAATTTTACCTTTGGTTTTAGCATCGAGCTCAAGGAGAATTGGTTTCATGCCTTTTCGAATTTGGACTAAGTTCATAGAGCAAATCCTATCTTTGGTGTTAGGATAGAGCTCAGGGAGAATTAGTTCCATGCCTTTTCGAATTGAAGCTGACTTCATAAAGTAAATCTTACCTTTGGTTTTGAGCATCGAGCTCAAGGAGAATTGGTTTCATGCCTTTTCGAAATTGAACTAAGTTTATCGAGTAAATCCTATCTTTGGTGTTAGGAAAGAGCTCAGGGAGAATTCGTTTCTTCCCTTTTCGAATTCGAGCTGACTTCATAAAGTAAATTTTATTTTTGGTGTTAGCATCGAGCTCAAGGAGAATTGGTTTCATGCCTTTTCGAATTCGAACTAAGTCCGTTGATACTGTTGTTCATCAATCTTATATTTGTCTTTGTGGTTTACACAGGATTAAAAAGTTTTTTCTTTCCCGTTCTTTTCCTTGCAGATTGGCAGTTACAATGATACCTACCATCTGAAGATTGACGCTCGTTACCGACTAGACTGGCCGACATCATGCCAAAAGCCGTCATGTCCTAAATGTATATTTCCACCCTATCAGCCGTCGCGTTTTGCAGTGAAAAAGTCACCCTATTACCTCAACATTGTGGCTGTCTTTGACATCCACATGGCAGACAGCAATGGTCCGGGGAAATGCGGCCGATTAAACTGGATGTCAGATTTTCAAAATTTACTCGCCTTTTTCTACGCGATTGAAACCGTCAACAAAAATTACCTATTTAAACTATCGAACAGTCTGCAGCTTGGTGGAGTCGCCATCGATACGTGTTCGAATCCATCCAGAATTGGCCAGGACATTTACAGTTTACTCAGTGGAGAAGGTCTTTGTGGCGTTGGTGGTACTGACAAAATGGTAAATTTGGTTGTTATTTTTCGTAGAACGATAGTTCGTAAGCAAGTCTTGGACACTAATTCATTAGTGAATTTGTCCCTTATTAGTAGATCTAATATGTAGATTTGTGCCAAACTAGGACTAATTTTAGCAATTAACTATAAGAAAGCCTACTATAGCAGGAAGTTTCGCAAAATTAATTTTTTTCACACATTATTTTATTTAAGAATTGAACACATAAGCACTACCCTATCTCGTAGGCTAACATGTCACTTGATGAAATTTAGCACAATTCGATCATCATAATTATTAACCAGATGCACCCTAACCATTCGGACAGCTTCTTTCCAGGGAGCGCTACTTTGTTGAACAGTCTCCCGGTTGGATGCTTCCCAGATTGCTAGAGTCGTAACCAAACTCTTCCAGTCCAGGGTGAACCGTTATCTTTCCTATATATCGTTATAATTTTAACTTCTTGCATACTTCATTTTGGTTCATTTTACCTCATTCATTATTCCTCTACCTTAAGTGGCCCTTGAGCCTTTTGTTGGTTGATAAATTAATAAAATAGTGATCAATATAATAT